TTTATATATTTCAGGTTATTACAAATAAAATCATTTTGGAAACAATTGATATCCCCCCAAAAGCAAATAAAGCCAACAATGACAAGGTAATAAATCAGTTTTGACATAACTTGAATACAATAAAAACTCACAACAATGACAACATAACTTAACAATTTCATTATTTTGTAGGATTAAAGAAAGGTTAAAGAAAATCATGTCGAACTGAACAACAAGAATCCCCAAACAACTCCAAAGAAACCTACAAGGAAGACACCGGTATTATATTTAAATTATCTCTATCTCTAAATAGAATAAAAGAAAGTTGCTATCCAGGTCTGTAGCATGTGCTACAAATTATATTATTAACACATTTATATAATTATATTAATATAAATGTGTTAAAAAATTTATAATATGAATTATAAAAATTTTTTTAAGTTTTGCCATGGACAGAGCTTAAATTAATATTCCCTCTTATTTGTTGCAGAAAGGAAGTAGTTTTGGAGAAGCCTGGGAGATGCCCAACCAAAGAATTTTTTATTACCAAAAAATTCAGTGATTAATTTTTATTAGAGTCACTTAAAAATATATAGTATAATGAAATAAAAATGTTTTAAAGATAAATAGTGTTTTATTTGTTTAATGTAAGAGAATAATAATAAATATTTATTTAATTAATTTTTCAAATGTAAACTGAACTTTATTGACTTTTAATGACTCCTTTTCCAGTCTTTGATTATTTAATTGTAATTAATTATTTGCATGCAATCAAAAACTATTTTTAATAATGCCAAAGAAGTATAACCTTCTTACGCGCGTACATAAGTACACGCACCTTTTTTTTTAACCTTTTTTTACGTACGAATCCCAAGCTTCGGACACAGACACAGGGTATGTGGAACTCGACTCACTCCAGAAAATATATTGCTCAGAGTGCTGGTTGATATAGCCGTAAGATACGGTCTACGGTTTCGATATTTGTAAATATGTGAGGAACATGTATACTAACTTTTTTAGTATAGTAGTTTATTCTAAGAGTACATTGTCTTCACATATAATTATTTAACAAATGTAACAAAATATTGTAAACCTATTTTAAAAGAAGTAAGTCTGGAGTTTCTTGCCCATTCTTCTCCACACGAAACTACCTTTTGGAAGGGGCAACTAGAATCTTCTTTGTATTTTGACGTTCAAAAGTGCCATTTTAGATAATTGAAATAAATGATTTGACTTTGACTTTGATATATAGCCTAAGCCCAGTAAACGGGTAGTTCCAACATTACTGTCGCCGAGGGGTCGCAGAACTGCGAATATTTTAAATATTTAATTTTTTACTGATTAAAGTGTAGAAACATTGAAGATAGTTTTTCGAAAAAGCGTAACTGTTGAAACATAATAATTACCTACGATAGTAAAAAGTCATCGGTTTTGTTTATTTCATTCCTATATAGTATAGCGAATTATAAATATTTTTACATTGTCGATCTGGCATTTTATTAATATTAGGTAAAAATACAATCAAACGGTTAAACGCAGAATGGCGCCAAAATGTACATCACCGCGCATGCGCAGCTAGCAATACACTACCACACATTAGTCAAATTGGAAATTGATTATATTAGCTTATATAAAATAGGATGGGACCTCCTTAGTGACAAAAAAATTTTAAATATAAAAAAGATACAATGACGATCATAATGTTGATGAACCTATGAAATTATGTTATAATTTTTTAATAACGTTTATGTTAATAATTCTCTATTCTAAGGGTTCCTTTAGAAAATTGTAATTCGTAACATGTACATTTGAATTTGGATTCATTATATTTACATAAATTAACGAAATATACTACATAATATGTTGTTAACATTTCAAGTCTGTGAAGTAGCTACGCTGTCGGTTTCGGCTCCAATTTCAATTTATTTTGAATGTAAATTTAAAAATAGTTTTTAAAGTTTACTTCAATACTGAATATAATACCTTAACGGCTGCAAGTCATTTATTGTGACTACTATAATATGTACTAAACTTGTTCTTGTCGCTTACTGTCAATCGTACATGAAGCATTTAAATTATTAATTAAAATCAACATACATATTTTCACAAATACAAAAATATTTTTCACGGAAGTAGAAACAAAGACTGAATTACCCAGACTGTGACAAACTGGAGTAGAAGAAACAAAATATTTAATATGTTCAGTGAGCTTTATGTACATTTCGACCTACTCCACATTCATAATCAGAGATTCAATTTCTTTAAGGCCTTGTTTAAAAGGAAAACCTTGTAACTACAATACAGAGTACCTACTGTTAGGGTTGTAGCTTTTTCTTGGAAGAATGTTTATTATTTTAAAACAGTCCTTATAAATTCAAATTGACGGAAAATAAAAATCGTTTAAAATTTAAGACGTATTTATATGTATAACTGTGGTTTAAAAACTATCTATAATGGAGGGTAAAAAACAAATAGTTTTACGGTATTGCCAAAGACAATTTCCTTTGTCTTTGGCTTTAAAAACTGTATCACTTCAATTTTTATGATAAATGTCCTGAATTTATGAGTTTGTGACAAATACATTTATGCAATAATATAGTAATTTTTTTGTTATATTGTATTAAACATACGGCGACAAAACACGGCATATGTAGGGACGTAACTTGAATACTTGTTTAGATGCCTAGCTAAACTTGACATTATCAATAAAAATCATGTAACATGACATTGATAAAACCCTACAAGTTTGTTGATACACAGGTCAGCGGTCAAGTATGGCAAGGTATTCGATCCAAGTTCTTTATTCATATTCTAGACATTTCTAAAATAAAATTTACTCAGGCGCATTTTTTAATAAAGCGAATTTTCTAGCTGCTATGCTTTTGATAAAAATAAAAATTTGTCGAGACTATATTTTTTTTTGTTTTTATGAAAGAGGATGTTGGCGACACTTTTATTACACGGTTAATAATTTTTTTTTTCAGATTCAGAAATCTGAGGTCCAGACCCAAAGAGGTTGTAGCGCCACTGATTTTTTAAATTTTTTATTTAAATAATGTTTTTACATTTTAATTAATTTATATCTTATAAGACCTCATTGGATAATGGATAGATGAATAAATTACAATTTTTTTTATAATTTTAAATGAATACTCCAAAAATGAGTAGGTGTGTCTAGATATTAAAGTGCTTAGGTACAGAAACGATAATTATCTCCTTATTTTTCTAACTTAAATAAGTGAAACGATAGCAATTCATTTGCTAATTACAAGTGCAAAAATATAAAGCTATGAAAGAGGCTTTATATAAATGAGGTTGTTGTAAAATAAGTTTTATCATATAAAATACAGAGCGAGCGTAAAATTTAAATAGCTTGCTCAAAAGCACTGAAGAGTTTTTATCCTACTTCAATCTTCAAGCAAATGTGACTCAGACAAACTTGACGTTATATATTAAAGAGGCAGGATTAAAAAAGTATAAACATGAACAATTTTATTTAGTCTTCTTTAACGGATTAAAAAACCAATTACATTATATACTTAACTTGACGTATCACATTATTTACCTACAGTTGTGTCATGGCAAGTGACAAACCATGTTATAATTATAACACCTACGTTGAAATATGTATAAGAAATTTTACTTTGATAAGTAATTTAAGTAGAGTATCGTTGTTGATGCCTTCCTCGTTGTGACAAAAGAAAACGAGGAAGACAAATAAAAAGATGGGAAGATGATGTGCGAAGAGTAGCTGGCCCTATGTGGCTACGTAAAGCTAGAAACAGAGAAGAGTGGAAGTCCTTACAGGAGGCCTATGTCCCAGGACAAGATGTATACCAGAAATCAACCGGCTTGCCGATTAATGATTAGTATTTATTTTTATTTTTAGTGTTAATTTTTTAGTATTTCTCATTTTTATGTATGTACTAGTATAAGTAATTACAGCAATAATGGCTTTTATTATTATTATTATTATTGTCGTTGATTACCATTGTTTGTTCTTGAGAAACGCAATACAGCTTAGTGATTAGTGTAAGACGATATGCATGAAGATATCTATTATCTTGACTTTGAAATAATCGTTTTAGATCACGAGTAGATTTATAATTAATTAACTGAAAATCACTGGACCGATTTCAATAATTATTTCACCGTTAGAATGCTATATTATTCCTATGTAACATAGGCTATAAGTATTCCACATATAAAAAAAACATTATCGTCGTGTGAAACTGTCCGCTAGATAGAATTATAAAATACATAATGTGTGTAGGTTCCTAAATAAAATTTTGTTATTAAAATTATCTATATATAAGAACAAAAGTCTTGAAATGAGTTTAAATTTGAAAGTAAAATGTTTCGTTCGTTCGTTTCAATTGTAATGAATATTGATTTGTCAATGAGTCATATAATAGGCTTCCTGAACTTAAGCCTTAAATTACCTTTTAGACTAAGCAAGGGTATAACTGCTACATTTTAATACTTCAATATTTTTGCTTAATCTCTCTTCAATCATTGAAATCGTTTTTTCCATTAATGTACGTACGTACGTCAGAAACCCAATCCATTTTTATAAATTTCAATTAATAAAACAATAATTTACGTCAAATTATATTCTGACATTTTACATGTTATATCAAATAACTGGAGAAAATTTTTCACAGATTATAAAAGTATATAGACGATAAAAAAGTTTTAAATTTACGAACTGCGTAGAAATTTGTAATCAGAACAAATCTTCTTTCATCAAATGTCTAGTTTTTAATAACAAATTTCTCTAGCGGGAATTTTTGTCCTTATATATGACATACAGAATTTACATACATATTGATCTGATTAGCAATATACTATTTTACATAGTAAAACTGCGCGTAACTTTATGTCTATCAATTTATTACAAGTATTATCACTTTATATATTATATTATACTTTCTTAATATTAAGGAACGTAAAGTGACTATCACTTTTAAAGTTAGTCTAAGCAGCTACGTATTACGTGTCGTCCTTATATTATTACTTACAGGATTCTATGGGAGTTATGTCTGGACCCTCAGCAGCCAAAATCTTCATGGTTATGGCGCCCGGTAAGACACTACTTGACACCGACACCTTGAATACTTTAGGCAACGAATAATAAGAAAAATATTCCTCTGTGATACGCGAAAATAACTGCGACCCAACAGGCTGTTATTGCACTATTGATTATGGAAGCGGAGGGTAGACGCACGCGTACTAGCCTCTGAATGACGCATGCGTCTTGAAAGCGGAGTTGCCAGCCCAAAGTAGCGTTGTATACTCGATATTATCTATAAATTAATAAGCGAGATGTTGCTTTTTACACGATTACAAAACGTTTTAGTACCTTGTTGTCGACGTTACATACGTTTGGCATATGTAACGTCGATTATATATTATTTAATTATAACGTCGTTGTAATTTTGTTCTAGTTTAGTTTTGGTTGGTATTTGAAGCAGCAGTTTATTGACAGATTGTTAAATAGGTAAAGTGAAATTTATTTCATAAAAAGGTCTTTAGCTATCTTCATATGTATAACATGAGTCGTTGATTAAGAAAAATATTGTTACCTTTGACGTACAAAGTATATTTAAAAAAATAATTAAGTTTAAGAATTGCTCATAAATTGCTATAATCTGTTAGATTTAAACACCTGTTTTAATTAATATTGGCAACCCTGATCGAAGCGGATTTACGTCATACTGATATGTCAAAAAACGAATCCGGTTCACAACGCGCGCTCTTCATGAACTCTTCATTTTAATGACGATTTAAACAGGTCCATAATAGGTTTCTTCTATAGCAAGCCCGTATCGTATATTACTAATATTTTTTAGTGTACTTGATAAAATATAAATAACAAGTGTTGAAATATAATGAAGTATCAAGTATGTCTTACTTGTACTGCTGAATCAATGACAATAAAAATGCGATTGACTAGATGTTACAAATAATTTTATTGAAAATCGTAAATAAATTTACATAAATTAATAAATTAGATCACGTGTAGTGTTGGTGCGCTGTTTTGTTTAGTATCCAGCCAACTCGGCGAAAGTGGAGTCCATCTCATCAGCCAGGCTCTTGTATCTGTCCTTGTTGATGCCGAGCTCGTCTGAGAAATATATGAAATGTTAGATTAGATATATAACTAATGCTTTTAATCAGCATTTGATTAAACGCAGATCTGAAAATGAACAATGTTTTTTGTCCATGTCCTGAATGTTGCGGAGACCTTTTCTAGGGTATAATTTTAATAATTTACTTAATAGATGTCCATAAAAAGTTATGATGTAAATTCTGTAACAAGCTGAAGTGAAGAAAGATTTAATATTAATATTGTTAAAATTTATTATTGTAAAGTACATTTAAAGATTTTCTTAATTTATGAAAATGCATTTTTAAAGTTTATTTATAATTTAAATTAAGATATTAAACCATTGAGTACCTTAGAAGCATTGATCCACCTCGGTAGCAGCAAAGCATAAGACATTAGTTACAACACAAAAAGCAGGTTTACAAATGAAACATCTCATAGGAATGTCATTGTTACGAAAATAAGTGTATGACAATCCTATAAAATTTGAAAGGGTTAGGATTAAGGAACATAGTCTAAGCGTTAGAATGAAGATTCAATAAAGTGGAAAAGTTATTTATAACATAATTTACGACGACATGGTCGACGACTTCCCGGGTACTAAAAATCGAACATTCAGGTAGAAATTTTGATATGGGTCTATACTAATGGTGACAGTGGTTCTATGTGGACGGTACTGTCTTAAACTAAATGCTAAGGGAAGTTAGTATCCTGTCAGCTCTGCGAATGTTCCGTCCAGGTCATCGCATATCGCCTTGTATTTCTCCTTCTCGTTGAACAAAGAGTCTGCAAAATGTTGTTATTAAACAGCTTTTGAAGAGCTTTGAAAGGTGAAGAATTAAAAGTATGAAGACGTACCGCTCATCTAAATTTGATGTAATCAAATTCGGAAAGTTTTAAATAAATTTTACAGCTGCTGGTACGTCATCATCAGAAACGTTTTGATTTGTTATAGTTTTCACTCAATGTTAGCTTTTTTTAAAGATTTGTTTATAAGAATGATTTAAGAATTTATTCCGTAGATTTTATTTGTAATTTGTTTTAGTTTGATTGTAAATACCTTCGAGCCTGTCGACCTCCTTCTGCAGTTTCTTGACAGTCTTTTCGGCGTATTCAGCGCGAGCCTCAGCCTCCTTGAGCTTGATAGTGAGGGTCTTCAATTGTTTTTTGAATTCTTCTACACGCTGGTTGGCCTTCTCTTCTGAGACCTCTAGTGATTTAAGGGAGTTACCTACGACCTGTGGGAGTTGTTGCATATAAATTAGCAAGTATTTTTTTCTTGTAATTGATATCTTTACATTTATCAGTTTATATTAATGAAAAATAATAATCTGATTAGATTATTATCTCACTTCGTAAATGTGCAATAATTTATTAGTCTTAAAAAGTAGTAACTTTATAATATGAAATAAAAGGGTTACCTTTAATTCTTCTTCAAGTTCTGAGATTTTGGCGTCACCAGACTTGACACGGTCCTCAGCTACTTCCAACTCGTCTTCAACGAAGGCCAGTTTACGGGAAACCTATAATTTCAAGGCATAAGATTGATATATACTTATGTTATACACAATCATGTTTTATGACAAAATAAAACCATTAAATAAGTTGGAAAGCCTATTAAAAAAATTGATAAAAATAGAAAGAAGAGTGTTTCTAAAAGTAACGTACGTAGTAAAGTACTCCAGGTACTCCAAGTACTCAGTCAATTAAGTTAAGTAACGATGATGATAATTCCTATCTGATTTGTTGTATTCTGAAAGTTTACCAGCAGAAACATGGATCCAATGTCAAGTTTTCAGGGGCTCATACATGATGTGTGCCATGTGCTGGTCTTACTTTCGTTTGTGGCAATTGCTACAATGACCATGACGATTAATTTTCCAAGATCTTGGTAATAGATTTTTAATACTATTCTATCATAAATATTGAAGACTGGAAGTGTCGAACAGTTTTACTGATTCTAATCCTTTAGTTTATTATTATAATGTCGATTTTTTAGTTTGTTCTACTGTCCTAAAAGTATTATAAATATTTTGTTTAGTATTGTACAAATTTTATTTCATGTCGAGTTCACGTTGAAACCATGGTTTGGCTAGACTTTCTGAGAGCTCAATTTGCCCCATACTCTTGCTCAATTTACCTAACATTGAGCTTTAAACTGCTGTAGCTCTTAAAATCGACTTGTTAGAAATAATACTATGACACCTTTGTAAAGGGATATTTTTGTAATAATCTAGCATGCAGAACAAACCATTAAGACTTATCGTTGAGGAGCTTTCTAGCTCCTTAAATATAAGGCCTATTTAGATACATTCATTTCAAACAAAATATTTAACGGTTATAGTTATTTTTGGGTTAAGATATGTCCCAGAGATTCTTTCTGGTTACCTCATCAGATTTGCCGTCAGCGTCTTCAGCCAAGAGACGGGCCTCCTTAAGCTGGTTGGTAAGTTGGTCCATACGCTCCTCGTCCTGCTGTGATCTGTTCTCCAATACTTTGCACATACTGTAATGAAAATTTATGATTATTATCTACCTATTTATAGTAAAAGTTAAATGAGTTGGTGCTTTCTGCACTGTGATGGTTAAAACTTATTTTAATCTAAATTTTATTAGTTCAATACGATAAAATAACCATCCAGTTTGAGCTTATTATAATGTCAAAATACTATTATAATGATATAATAATTCGTATAAAATTACCAAATTAAGAATCCTTTTAGGTTATATAGACGGCCTTCGATGTAGTCTTCGGTTTAATAAGCAGTGTTGTAATCTTCGTGTAAGTCCACGCATTATTTTTATACTATTGACCTACATTAATCCATACCATTTCAGCCGAGTTCAAACAACATCGAACATGTTTATTACAATGTTTATAATAGAACTCACCGGTTGTTCTCATCAGCGGACTGCTGTGCTTCTAACAGTTTCTGTTGGGCGGTGCCAGACCTCTCCTCAGACTTCTCGAGGTCCTCCTCAATCTGCTGTACCTTCCTGTTGAGGGATGCCACCTCCGCCTCAGTCGCGGTAAGCTGCTTTTCCTTCTCTTCGAGGTCCTTGTTAGCCTGCTCTAATTTGTTCTTGTTGAGGGACAAGTCCTCTTCTACTTGGGTGAGCTTCTTTTGAAGTTCACGGACTTCCTCGTTGACCTAGGGTAAGGAGCAACTGGTAATATTAGTAAAACTGACAGAGAACTGTCTAATAGGGTATTTATTGACGTCCTGCTGGACAGAAAATCTGTGCCCAGTTTATGTTTCCACCCCATTTTTGTTAACAAATTTTTGTCTGGTTATGTATACAATAAATAAATAATTTATTATTTTGTAAGATTCTGGACTCGAAGCTTGCAGTGCGGGTCCTTGTTTATATGTTTTAATTTATTGTACATTTCTAAGTTATAGGCGAGTGAGGCCACCGTCTTGCGAGCCTTAAACATCTACAGTCTTATTGCATTATGACCTTTTCTTTTATCTTATCTGATCCAATAATCTAAGAAAAATTGGTGGCTCGAAACTTCACTCCTTTAGAAACCTACCTTTTCGGCGCGGAGGTTAGCGTCCCTAGCCTGCTGTTCGCAGGTATCTGCCTTGTCCATGGCATTGTCCTTCTCCAGCTTCATCGCCTGCATCTTCTTCTTGATCGCGTCCATGATGGCTGTTTTGTTTTTTTACGGTCCGGGGAAAAAAGTACGCCAGTTACAGACCTGAAACAGAAGGAATATTGTAAGATAGAATTCTCTTCATAGTTAAATACATTTTGTGTGTTGCTTCTCATTAAGCGCTTGATCCATATTGTTACGAATGATTTGATATAATACGAATTGTGCGATTCATACAAAATAATATTTTACTAAAAAAATATTCTGGGGAAACTTTCCTTCCAAAAAACATTTGAATTCTAAATTACTCAACAACGTATAAGGTTAACGGTAACATATTATAAAGAAAATAAATTTTTT